GCAGCTGATGTCTTAACTCATTTTTCAGAAATCTTCTCCTCTGCTGGAAATTATCTCTTCTGTGGGGACAGTTGGGGGGCGGGGGACACATAGATGCATGGAGGAGACAGTCACATGATTTTGAGACAAGAAAAGGCGCTGCTTCCCTTGGACCAGTGTAGATGTCTGAGCCTGGGCCAATGCTTCACATCTCTTGGAAAGGCTTAATGTCAGGGGTCACCAGCTCCAGCCCCCTACTGTAGAAAGGCAGTCAAGAACCAAGTGTCACTGGGTAGTCAGTGCAGAAAACCGAGGCTAGAAGTCGAGCAAGACCCCTGGGAAATAAGAACCAGGGATGACTCATCAGTTGTATTTGCAAAAATAGGGCTATGCTTGCAAACAATACTTTGCGTTGGCTCCACAGAGCCCCCATCTCAATATCATTCTTAGAATGACCATACTGCGAACAGTTAACCTAAGGGGACTGATGCTTAATATGGTATGTGGTGTCGGTTTGTATGGATTCTCCACTGCAAACCCTTATATCCCCTGTCCCTTCCCCTCCTCTCACTTAACCTCAGAGCCCCCGTGGTGTGTATTAATGGCTACTGGTTTTTAAAGTATTTTACATTGTTGAATTTTCTGCTTTCTAAGTGGCCAGTATTTGTTTTTAGCGTTCTGGCTTGCTTTGCTACACATAACCCTCTCAAGTTTCCTTCATTTTGGTGAAAATGGCTGTTTCATCTTGAATAGTATTCCATGGTACTTAGTATTCAATGGCGGGGATATCACATTTTCTGGATCCACTCATCTGTGGATGGACACTTAGCTACTTCCATGTCTGAGCTATTATAAATAATGCTGCTATGGACATTGTGGGACATCAGGGCTTTTAATGTTAATTTCTTTGGATTTTATGTTATTTCCATTGTTAACTTTTTAAAAAACAAAGATTTATTTATGCACACAGAACTGGGGTACAGGCCAGAGGTGCAGGAGCGGTGAGAGGATTCAGCACAGACAGAATGGGGAGCAGAACAGGCCTACTGACAAAGTGCATTGCTGAGGGGAGCAGTGGACGGGTCAGGAGAGGCCTGCTGCGCCATGTGGGTCACTTCCAGGGCAGGGTTTGAACTCATGCTGAAGTGGTTTTAACTTCTTAGTGCTGTGCTTTAACCCACTGCGCCATCAGGGAGGGCCTCCATTGTTAACTTTTTAAAGGTAAATCCATACTGCTTCCCATTTGAGTTCACATTTACATTCCCACCAATGTGTAATCGAGTTGCTTTTCTGGGCTCTTCTCCAATGTTGGAGATCTTTTTCAAATGTACCATGTTCATATGTTAAAACCACACTCCGTTGTGGTTTTATCCTGCACCTCTCTTACTGGAAGTGACAGTGAATGTTTCATCAAATGTCCTTTGGCCTCTGGATATACTCTTTGGTGATTTCTCTGTTCATATCTACTGTGGTGTGTACTTGAACACTTTCAGTTTCTGATCTGGAGCTTACCAATTTCTTCACAGGCCTCCTCAACATCTCACAGTACTGATCCACACTAGAAACGAATTCTGTGTGAAAACTTTCTGAAGGTCACAGGAGTGGGCAGCAGATAAAGCCGGGGGTGTGTTGAATGTCACGCTTGTGCTCTTGAACATGAGCAGAGGGGCCCTTCAGCTTAGGAGCACCCAGTAGGTCTTCACCCCTCAGAATAACTCATTCACAATGAGAACTGAGGTCCAGGGAAGCAGGTCAGTGGCCAACACTGCACGCCTTCTGAGGGATTCACTTCCCAGAAAACCCATCCCATACTTGCTTTGTAGCTATTTCTTCAATTTGCCTCAACACCCTGGTTACCCATGACATGTGGTTTGGCTCCTTCCTTTCTACATGTCTAGTGTTTTTTTTTTTTAATAGCATTAAAGATGAGTGGTGATGCAGTGTAGAAAATGGCTTTAAAATCTAGACAGACTTATTTTCAAATCCCAGCTCTACAGGTAAGAGTTGTGAGAGCTGGGCAACTTCCTCAATCTTTTGTACCCATTTCTTCATCAGACACACATGGATAATGCCACCTATGTCACGAGGTAGAGCTTAATAAGCTAACGTTTGTATGCTCAGCACAACACCTGGCAGAGGTTGTCTTCAATAAACACCTGTTAACATAAACTGAACTCAGGGATGGATTCTCTTGAGGGACCTACCTGTTCCGATCACTTCAGCGAAGGTGATGGAAAGAAACATGTTACACATGTACTGTGGTAAGCAGAACACTGTGGGAGCTATGTCTCTCACAGAAGAGCAGTAGCTACAGTAATTGCAGAGTGTAGGCTAGAAACCGGAACCATGCACTGTAATCCAGATGCCAATTGCGATTATCCTTCAAGGTCCGAAATCCGCATCTCATATCCTTTGATACAATTGGCTTGAATGGCACCCCACAATGGCAGAAGTGCCAGGTGGACAGTCCCTAAGGCTTTAGAGACTGTGTAAGGTGGCAGGATCTGGGCGGAGGGCACATATTTCCCCCTTCAACTCTGTGCCTGCACAGGCTGTATGCTTTCCTTCACTTGTTAGAGCACGTGGACTACTCCCATTCTTTACTCCCCTATAACTCAGATAGAAACCTGTGCATGCAACAGGTTTTTGTTTACCATTTGGGAAGTTGAAGAGGACTGATATTTTGGCACCATTTTGCCACCAAGTTTTTTTGCCCTCCTGCTATCAGGGAGTTGTTGCGGGCATCTCCTGCCTGCAGGATCCAGAGACCAAACCATGTTCTTGAACCACTTCCTCTTTTCTGCTCCCCAGCTACCTCACCTCCCAGACCAACTTTCTCTGCAGAAGACACTGGAAGTCTCAGCTTTCTAAAGAAATTTAAGTACTCTATGGGGAAACATATCATTTTGTGAAGTGAATCCTGGTATTACTATAAATTAACTTCTGTATCTGGTTCCACAGGTTGACTGTGAGGTCTCTTAGGGCAGGAATCTGTGCTGTATCTGTGCCTTAGGAGGTGTGGGGCTCCCCATGTGGCGAGGCAGAGGACCTGGCCTCACCTAGTGGGGAGGTGTTGCTGCACTCGTTGGTGGACCCCGTCCCCTAGTATGGTCGGGAGATGGAGCCAGTGTAGTGTAGAGTCTATGTACCGCAGCTGTTGCCTAGGCCCAGATACTGGCTTCACTTACTGTGGTTATGTAACCACCTCAGGAAATGAGCCTGAGGGAGGACCTCAGACTAGACAGACTCCATGAGCACAATGCAGTATCTGAGGCCACCACTGCAGCCCTGCCAGCGCCTGCACTAGTTCTCTGGGTCCCACACTAGTTCTCTGGCTCAGAAACTAGGTGATGTGGTGCCCAGCTTCACGTCTGGTGGCGTTTGTCGTGCGGGCTTGGAAGTGGCCTTTGATGTAATTACACAATCCAGTTTCCTGATGTGGAAGGAGAAAGTTTGAGTTTAGAGACAGTTTTTTCCTCCCTTGTAGTACAAATATCTGGACACAATAAAGGAAAGTTTTACGTAGCTGGGCTGGAGTGAAGAGAAGAAAGGAAGCCATCTAAAGAGGAACAAGACACAAAACCCTCTTAGGGTCACTAGTCTCTCAGGACTGGAGTTCCATTTGGGTTGTCTTTTTCAAAATAGAACACAAGGCAAGTTTAAAAATTCTTTATTTGAATTTTAGACAAAGAACAAATATTGCATTGTAAAGAATTGTTTGAAAGCATGTAATAGTTGGTCATATTTTTTTTTACATGTTGTGAACAAACAAGCACATAGGAAGAGAAGGGTTCCTCCTCCCCTCAGCTGTAATTTGTTCTTAGCATAGACACTATCTTAGAAAGCAAACCCTGTGAAGTGGCAACTCTAACACTCTCTTCAGGCTCCATTGGCTCCATGGATAAAGCACTGTTGGTCTCAGCCATCTGCCAGCACAAGAGCAAGGGCTGAGGCGCTCTACGGTCAGTAGTTTCTTTCCTCATCATAGCTTACCCCGATGACTAACCTGGAGATCTGGGCTGAGTATGAGTTAAACAGTTCAGTATACGTTTGTTGGAAAAGTCAACTTGGACATGCCAAGCCTCCTGGTTGGTTGGTTTAGCTAATGGTCACCTGTCTCATAGTGGGCAAACAGTGATAGAATGGGGTGTTTGTTGACCTTGACCAATGATACACTGATTGGTAGTCCTTGGTATCTCCAACTTAACATGCCTTTTAAGGTGCCAAGTCTCTAAGGTTGAAAGTTAGCAAACCAGTAGGTCAAGAATGGGTCCATTATTTGACAGAAGCTGGCCATGACCAGATTCACACGCAGAACCAAATCTCCTAAGATCCCTTTCCATTCTTCCCATGAATTCTAACAGAATACCTAACAGAGAACACGCATCAAAACATAATGCTGAAAGTTCAAATCTTATCCAAAATAAACTTTGTCTTAAGCTTACTCATTAAAAATAGATGTTAATAGTATACATTCCGGTTTTATTATACAGGTAGGAGGAAGCTGTGTTTCTTTTAAGTGCATAGTTCGGGGGGTGGGATGGGGGAGTGCTCTGGAAACATCTTTCTGGGTAGTTCAGTATTCTGTTTCCAAGAAAATTAAAAATCAACCACAATCATAGGTGTGAGTGGAAACAGGAGTTGCTCCTCCTAAATATAGTTAGGGCTAGGAATGGAACTCTTAACATTTTATTCTGTTAGACTTTTTTTAAACATAAAAGTTATTAATATTCATACTAGCAACAATGATCCTTGCTTCTCCAAGTTATAATAAATCAAGCCTGACAAAAAGAACATTTTGGTGAAGAATGGGAGGTCAGAGGTGTTGGTAAGCATCCATCAATACAGCAATCTCACGTGGGAAGGCAGTCCTACAAGAGAGCCCCCAACGTGAGCGGATGCGCCTCAAGTGCAGCTCCTGCGTTGCTGAGGAAGCTGAGCCAGTCTGTTGGCAGGCAGCAGGATGAGGGCTCTCAGGGCGGAGAACGTCCATGAAGTCAGTCTGAATGGAGGTCTTATTCTGGCTCTTCAGTAAACCTTTTTTTTTTTTTTTTTTTAAAGGTAGTTGAAAGCTTAAGTCCCTTTGAAGCTTTTCAGTGTGTTAGAAAGTCAAATACAAGTTTGTCCCTCGTGATATTTTGCTGTCAGATTTCACAGCCTGAGCTTAGTAAAATGGCAAGAAGCAGAAAATGAAATAAAAGTCACCAGAAGTCTGAGTGTTCCCCAGATTGAATCACTCTGAAGGCCACAGCAACAGTGTCTTACCAGAATGGCAAGACTGTGACTTCCAGGGACACAAGCCAGAGAGGTTGTATTAGGACAGTGTCCCTTTAAAAATGATAGAAAAGTCAGTTTGAATCCCAAGTTCCTTGTTTTTTCCAAAGTAACGTTTTTTCAGGACACTCAAGAATGACTCATAAGACATTGCTGCTTTCAAATACCTCGTCTACTTACAAGAAGAGGCAAGGAAATAACCAGCTTTGAGCTGGAGCTTGTAGTCATTAAGAAAATTAGAAGATGCTCTGAGCTTTTATAATCATGGGGGATATTTTACTTGTGAAAACATAAACCCCACCTGATAATCTAAAGGTCAAGTTTCTAAAATACAAGCACAGCAAGCAATACATTTGTTTTAAGGTTGAGCCTTTCACAAATCCTCACTTTAGGAGGATGCTGCCTTCACTACCATCCTGACAGACCTCTGTCCCTGCAGTTAGCCTCACAGAAAGGGTTCCTGACATCTGACTCAGTAGTTCACACAAGGGAATACCACTCACTTCCATTAGACTAAAAACTTGGGACTTGCAACCAGGAGGAAAACTGTTCCCAGCATCCTCCACCATTGCTTCCCAAGAGAGTGTTACTGGTGGCCCAAGGACTCAAGTCACCTAATAAGAGCAGACTTGCCTCCTCTGAGTTTGTGTGGTTTCTTACAAGCTTGCAAATTCCCATTAAAAAACTTAATAAATTAAAAATTACATACACACACACACACACACACACACACATTCTTCCTCCCAATTCCTGGCTGCAACTCCCAAGAGGCAAGCTCACCCAAAACATTAAGCCAAAACACCAACTTCACTTATTAATCAGGACTAGAAATGCTCTGTTTCCTATAGGGCTTTGCACTAGCACACAAATATGAAAATAAAGACAGCTATGCCTGGGAGTAAGAATAGCTTTGACAGCAATTTTAAAAGGGCGACACTTCTATGTATTTATCAGTTGCCTACACTCATTTCCTAAAAGTTTATCCTGAGGAAAATCCTGTTTACTCATCTTGAAAAGATCAATTCAGAACAGGTAATGCCGAGGGCTGAGGGTCAGTAAGGAGGGAAAAGAGGTGAGGCTCCTAGTATGGCTTTCGGGACTGGCCCCAAAATGCACAATCTGCCTGTCTCCTTCCCATCATCCACCACAACTGCACTGTCACCGTGAGAGGCATGACTGTGGTGGGCATGACTGAAGCCCTCAGTCTGAAGAGTCACTACAGAAAAAGCTGGGAGAGGACGTAAAGCGTGGGGAAAGAGAAGAAGCCCCTGTGCTGGGCTCTTCTGGCGTGTTCAGTGCAGCGAGGGAGGAAGTGCCTCCTCCTCACCTCAGGCATGCCGCTTCACTCTGCTGGGAAACTGCAACTGTCCCAGAAGACTAGTGGTTTGGAGTTGACCCAGTGACCCCTGCAAACTGGACACAGCATCTCCTCAAGACAGCATGCATGCCAGGGGGTGGGGCCGGGAAACTGCTCTGTGACCCAACAGTCTGCTGGCCCATTTCTTGATGCCCATTAGAAGGAAGTGTGGTCTCCTGGGTAAAGAGCTCCTGTCTGAAAGTCACCCAGAAGACTCCAACCCAAGGGGGATGCTGCTCTGACCCGAAACAGCTTGGACTGTGGCAAAGAGGAAGACTAATGAACACCTCAAACTCCAAATTCCCAGGTAACAGAGCAGGGGAGCCCAACTTCCCCATGAAAGTTCAATCAAGCTCAGATACATGTAGTTAGCTTGGGCACAGAGGTATCTCTCCAGACCTAGATGTGCTAGTGAGTTTCCAAAATTAATTAGAATCTTAATTTCCCTAGAAAAAAAACTACTCAGTTACAAATAGTGCTTGAGGAGCTGATACAATTTCTCTTTCTTGCAAGGTGGAAGACAGGGCTAGAAGGGGCAGGGAAGGGGAGAACTCTGACAAAGGCTAATCAGGAGAGGGGGGCTGTGTGCAGACTGAGTTCTATGGAGAGGTTTCACAGGAGGGGAAGAAGGAAGACTCTAGAAATTGAAAGTAGAACACCGGAGAGAAGAGAGTAGTCAAAGTACCATAAGATATAAACACAGTAGCTTTTTTTAAACACTGGAAGGACAAAAGAATTCATTCCTACACTGGCTTTTCAATGGAGAGATTGGAAGTGTTATTATTGCCGAGTTATGGGACATATCCCCCTAGCAGGAATCAAAGCTTGCCTGTCTGCATAGTCTTAAGGAATAGTTATGAATTTTCATGAAAAAAAGTTCATTTGTTTAAGTCTAGAGTTGTAAGTTCCTTAGATGAATTCGGTAGCATCACAGTAACAGACGGTGAGGGAGAGGGGCTGGGGGGTTCACAATAAAAATGTAGGATTTGTCCTGTGGTGCTTGAAGATCTGCACCAGGTTAGAAAGCAGAGACACAAGTGCTGACACTCAGGCTCATCCTCAAGATAATGGTGGCTGCAGCTTTGCCTTACAGCCTGAACAAAACAAGCTTTCTGTGTTTTACACAAATGTTCTGATGGCGCTAGCTCTTCTATAAAAGGTCCACCGTTGACCTTCTCTTCCAGCTCATTCTCTCAAAGTCCTGCAACATCCTCTCTATCCCTTCCCCATTATTCACACGCAGAGTCAATGAACTACAAACCCCAAGTAAAGAAAGATACAATTCATCAACGGGGAGTCCTCCTTTTACCTAAAGCTCCAAATTGTTTTAACTCTCTTTGGGATGCTTTTGGCAGTCCTGGTTTTGAAATACTTTTCTCAAAGACAAAATCTAGGATGAGTACACATTAAATTAATGCAAACTCCCACCATGGAAATAGCTGAACATCTGTGCTGTACAGCTGTAAGCCAGTCACTTTACTGGATCATTAAATGAAGGAGCGGAGAAGGGAAGAGGGTCTTATCTGAAAGATGACTAAAACAAAAACAAATAAAGAAAAAACAATTTAGAAAGGTACAGAAGGAAACTAATGAGGCAAAAGAGGAGGACGCAAGGTCCAGTGCCCCGGGGCAATGCTGTCCCAGCATCCAGAGTCTGGTGCTTTCCAAGTAGACGGGCATCTGGTGCAAAACAGCAGCTGCTTCTCTCAGGACTCTGAGGCGGGTCCCTGCTCTCCACCGGGTAAGCACAGAAGCGCTTTGTCACCTACACTCCAGGCGACAGGGTGCCCCTGAGTTCCCAGCACACCTAGGGTGTCACTGTAAGGACTCAGGTATGGTGCTGACCACCTGGGTTGTCTCTGTGGCTGCCGGAGGGGAGCTGAAGAAGGTGCTGGTTTGATTCCTCTGCTGATCTCGGAGGTAAGGAGGGACGGAGGAACTTTTGATATGGAGGATCCTGGTGTCCATCACCTGACAGTCGATCTGCATCATCACTTCATAGTCTTGCCCGTTGATGACATTCTCTGCAGAGAAGAATATGCACAAAATAAACAACCCACAGAAGCTGCATTTCTGCCCTAAGCATCAGACTAGAGACAAAACAAGCTTTAGGGTGTGAAATGTTACTGCACCATCCAGATGCAGAGGGAGCTCATCAGAGCCCAGAGCTACACTTGCGCCATTTCCATCCCCCAGACAACCTGCTTTTGGTTCAATAAGGCCTGGGCCACAGCTAGAGTTAACAGACACAGGTCTTGTATGCGTCCCATCGTGATACCGTGATGACTGGAGCCACTGGAACAGAGAGAGACTGTAGTGGTGGTAGAGGGAAGAATACTTAAGCCCTCAGCTTTCCTTTCAATAATGGAATCATTGTTTTTAAAAAATAGCACATCATGGCTCTCCCTGGTGGCGCAGTGGGTTAAAGCACTGCACTAAGAAGCTTAAGCCACTTCCGCATGAGTTCGATCCCCACCTGCCCCGGAGGAGATCCACATGACGTGGCAGACCTCTCCTGACCCGCCCGCTGCTCCCCTCAGCAGTGTACTTCGTCGATCTGCCTGTTCTGCTTCCCACTCTGTCTCTGGTGAATCCTCTCACCCTCTGCATGTCTGGCCTGTACCCCAATTCTGTATGAATAAATAAATAAATCTTTAAAAAAAAAATAGCACATCATGTGAATGACAAGGAGACCTTATGAGGATCTTGACTGCCAAGAATGCTTGATTCCAGATACAAAGAAACAAGTACATTTTCAATTTGGAATTAAAGGCACTGCTATAATGCTTTCAGGTAAACTACAGGTTGTTCGCAGAGGGTACAGGAAAACCACATGGAACCATGTTTATCAAGCATGGTGGTCACTTAGTATCATGAGTTTAATATACACATAGTATGCCCAGTGTTCTTAACAGGATGGAAGCTCTTAATTTAGAAAAAGGACAAATTATTTGGTAATTCTGGGTGGCCATTTTCTATTATAGTCAATGAAACTAGGGCACAAAATTAACAAGAGATTTAGAAGTAAACACTAGTTTTCAAGCCCAGCTGGACAGTCCCAGCAATACAGTTGGAAGTTGTGTGGACTTGGAAGAATGCTGGGGAGTCAACGTGGCATCTGGGTTTGCATTTTCATCTGTGAATCCTGAGCTGGGTGTGGGGACTAGGAAGAATGACTGCTGGCAAAGCCTTGTTCCGAACTGCTTTTTTATGAGAGTGATACACAGCCAACCGTGATTTTTAAACTGAGCATTTGGATTCTCGAGGACAAAGAATTGCATTTAAAAGTAGAAAGCTTTCAATTCCATTATCTTTTCTTCCCCTTTACTGTTGACACTACATACCAAGTCTTATAAACCTAGAGGAAGAAAATCCAAAGATTGACACCTGAAGTTCTGATTCTTTTACTGTTATGTGTGGGAAAAATGAGCCATGGAATTATTTACAAAGTAAAGAAAGACATGCAGATCATCTACTCCAGAGGTTCTTAAATTAGGGTCATATGCATAGACCTCGGGGAGTCCATAAATTCCCCAAAATTGCATGCAAGATTTTGTGTTTTTGTGTATTTTTCTGATGAGAGAGTCCATCAGATTTTTAACAGGGTCTACAACCTCTAGAAGTTAAAGACCAAACAGATCTAGTATATCAACTTTAAATGCCTCAAACAGATGATATATTCTATTTTAAAGGCAATGGAAGATGACATTCCCCCCACTTCTACTGGTTGGCTATCTGTTCCAATTTTTAACATAGTCTCGTTGATGATGAATTTCCCATTACAAGTCTTATAAATCTCTATTACAGTTGAAGTTCATTTCCTTCTTTCCAAGTCTTTCTAGAGAAGAACAGCTGCTTGCTTCTGTGTGTTAACTAATCCAATGTATTCTTCAAAACTATTGCCATGGAAACTTAACCCCCATTTTACAAGTCTTGCCACTATGTAAGACTTGACTTTGCTTATCATCTGCTTGTCTCTAGAAAATTAAATCTGAATGCCTATAAGAATGCTTCCTATCCGTGTTTTTACTCATAAGGCAGAAGATAGAAGAAGTCAATCTGCTAGTGTATTTTGGAGTCATCTCATCCAGATCACGTGACTGGATTCAAATTTCAAGGTGCCACACCAGTCATTTCCTTTTGGAACCATGATCGCTCTCATTTTAGAAAAGCTTTAGGAGAAAGGGAATGAAAGCAAGCGAGTGCACTCACACTGGGGCAGAGATGACCAACTAATGGAAAACACATGTATTAGAGGCATGTAATGCACATTACTAATTTTTACTGCTTTCCTGGATTAACTCGGAATCCAGATGACAGTCTAAGATCAAGACTGGGTTTATACAGCTCAAACCACCTGCAGAAGTCATTACAGCCCACGTGCCTGCAGGTTCAAACTGATAAGTCCCTTCATACCTGAGAAATCAAGAAGAGTTGGAAAGCCAAGGGCCATAAGCACAGACGCTTTGAGTAATCAAAACTAAAGCTGTGACCTGATTCCAAAATCAAGGAGTCCCTGACCAAGGCTGAAAAAGCACTGTTGTCTTAAATCCAACCAGGAGACTCAGGCTAGGTGTGGTCTAGAAGACTTTTAAATGTATTCTGTTCTTCACTCTTTTCTGACGATAGTCACTTCGAAGCCAAGAAAATGATCAGCATTATTAGAAGACAACTCTTAACTAGACAGGATGTAAACACAATAGATTGAATGGGTTGCTCTCTGAATGACAAACTGGGTACTTCATGGTTTGGTATGACATGCCACTAGGAGCCCCAAGTTATTTAACACCTCTAAAAACAGTTAAGGGAGCCACATCAGTTTTCTCTGACCCATACCAAGGGACTGTAGCCAGGAGCTCTGTGTCATGTCAATTTTGGACACCTGACTTTGGATAATTAGGTCTTCTTACTATTCTAATCTGTTTCATTATAGTTACATGAGAGGAGGACAGACTGGGGAAAAGCTTGTGATAGCTCATTTTCTTTGCAGGCCCTCTACCCGGTCGGTCAGCTATCTGCTCACAAGGTCACACTCAGGCGCAGCAATAAGACTCTGAAAGACAATAGTGGCAATACCCTTTACTTAAGGCTTTGAGAGCAGTTAATCACTGCCCACTGCTGGAAAGGACATCTTCATTGCTGCCTATAACTTTTCTAAAGCATGAATGAAATTTATCAGAGCAGACTTTAATTGGAGTGAGATTTCAGGACTCTAGAGGCTTAGGGAGGAAGAAGGGAGGGCTTTGGAGGAATGGGGAGAGGTGAGGGGCTGAGGCTGGCTACACTCTCTCCCAGAGCTCAGGTGTCCTTTCAGTGTGCAAAGATGACAGCCTTTGGATTTGTTAACATGAGGGAACATTGTAAACAATGGATTAAGGAGTGTGAGAGCTGATGAGCTATGGGAAAAGACTGCTAAACTATTTTTGTAAATTTAATGAAAAAAAAAAAACAACCATGATTGTATGGAAAAAATAGAACCACAAGGAACAGTCTGGAATGAAAATGTTACTTGTTTGCTTTCCCCCTTTTATCAGTAAACATCTGGGTGCCTCACAAGTGATATAAATAGTCTGATGTTCTGGGATTTTGGCAAGTGCGAGCTTACGATCTGAAGTCTGTTGAATTCTGGTGAGAATTAAGAAAAAGATGTAAAATAGGAATATTATAAATTCAAAATTAGACAAAAAAGAGCTGAATGGCTTCAAACATGAGCACTAAAAAGTGGTCCCGAATGCTCAGAAGGGCTGGGGAAGCAAGAGAAGTGCCTGGATGCTGCTGGTGGAAAAACTTTAGGCAGTGTGGAATTCTCAACGCCTGTAAACACACAATAACTGGATTCAGAATGACCTGCCAAGAGGCTGTTAGCTGGGAGATGACTAACACACGTAACTGTAAACGGAATTAAATGTCCAAAAACTTTACAGAAAGTTTAATTTTAAAAAGTGACAAGATGTCACTGGTGCTGTGAAAAGAAGTCAGTGATAAAACATTTCTATTCAGGATCAGGCACAAATCCCAAAAGAGGTCGTTTTCCCTGTATAAGCGAGACCAGGAAAGGAAAGGGCTGTGGCATCTGTGCCTGAACCTGGGGTGGGGTGTGGGGACTCGAGGGCTGAGGGAGTAGGTTAAAATCTACCATTCACCAACTATGGAGAGACCATCAACCAAAACAAAAGGAAAAGTGAGGAAAGAAACTTGAAGGGTAAAAAGGGGGAGATCAAGTAGCTGAAAATCAGTGGAGGTGTGACACAAAGACATAACAGGGAGGTGGTAAATGACCAGTTTGTACAGTGGCTCTGAAGAAGTCCCACTCTGCTATGCTGAGCCAATCTCAGCTATTTTCAACCTGCATCCTGGTTTTGAACATCTCAACTACCATGTGTTTATATTTCTGTTGTATTTTCCCCCTTCTACTTGAAAAAGTGTCTTTCTGCTCATCATTTATCAAATTCTCAATCCTGTTAAATTCTATTCTTTAATTTTTAAACTGAAGCAACATAGGTTTTTTTTTTTTTTTTAAAGATTTATTTGTACATACAGAACTGGGGTATAGGCCAGAGGATCAGGCGCGGTGAGAGGCTTCACCAGAGACAGAGTGGGGAGCAGAACAGGCAGATCGACGAAGTACACTGCTGAGGGGAGCAGCGGGCAGGTCAGGAAAGGTCTGCCGCGCCATGTGGGTCACCTCCGGGGCAGGCAGGAATCGAACTCATGCGGAGGTGGCTTTAGCTTCTCAGTGCTGTGCTTTAACCCGCTGCGCCACCAGGGAGGGCCGCAACATAGGTTTTTAACATTGTATATGATTTAGAGTAATATAGGTGCATGCTTCCTGAGACGTGTGTCACCAGACCATACCCACCACCAAGGCCTCCAAGATTCCTTACATACCGACGGCCAAGAAGCATATGACAGTGTGCTCAATATCACTTATCAGAAGAATGCAAGTCAAAACCAAGATGAATATCTTCTCACTCCCATGAGAATGGCTCATATTAAACAAAATAAAACCAAACAAAAAATACAC